TACTGATTGTTTACAGCAGCAACAGGGGTCACATAATCTGAATAACAATAAAGGCACACCCATTCATCATCGGCATCTCTTTAACCAATCTACATCAACGGAGACCATCTCAAGTTGTTTTAGTGCATATGACACGTTTACAAAAAGATTTTATAATATCCACACAGGGAAAAATTCTGAAGTCACTAAATCTACAGTGTCATCACTTCCAGAAACTCCCAGGACCAGAGACTCCAGGGGGTTTCCGGCTCAAAATTAGCACATGAATTGGTTTGTGTGGAAGCCTTGTGAGGAGCGCTGCTAAAAGAAGGACTTCCACTGACTGCACTTTACCGAGGCTTTTACTCACCCCATACTAACACTATTATCACAATTCTTGAACACAGTGCTAACGCATTATATTAAAAGACTTCTTTTTTGTGTCAGATGATAAAAAGTCTTTCAGCAACATTTAACAATAAATACTGAGACCTGTTGAGTTTATTTACAACTGTGAAATTCTGCAACAATATAATTTAAACATGTGTAGACAGTGTATCCTCAAATGACACCAATTAGATTAATGAGAAATCATGTAACATTGTGCCTGTAAAAGGTTAACTGCTCTAATATCTTGTTGTTTTCCAAGGGGTCCTTTACTGCCCAGTGCTTTGTCTTGTGATCTAAAATCTAATGAAATTCTGTACATGCAGCCTGCTAGAGGTGACAGCTTAAGGAGCTTTACAGTCCTCATTCAAAGAGTATTCACACAGAGGCAGGGAAGCTTGAGTAAGGAACAATTATTACATTGAAGATCACAGAGGAAATGAAAGAGAAAAAAAAAATACTCATTCTATACATGAGTGCACCTCAATTTCAAATAGTACATTAATATGAAGGTCTTCGTTCAGGCTACATCCACACTAATTTGTTTAGTTTTAAAATACATCACCTTTGCTAGTTCAGTTTGAAAACTCAAGCAGAAACTGAGTCAAGATTTTTGGAAAATGTGATACAGACTTCCATGTTTGCTTCCAGATTGAATCAGTCATGACTCCACAGAGATGAATGAAACGTGGATAACAATATAACTTTCAGTAATAGTTCCACCTCATTGTCCAAAACAGAAATCCCTGCTCTTTGTTTTTTCCATTGCTGCTCCTTTGTAGAATTTCCTGCAACTAAGCAACCAACAGCAGAGTAGACGGTCAGCTCCATGTTTACATCAGCATGTGCATGACCAGTGTACACAAATGATCATGTGATCTGTATTTTCAGGTGTGTTAGTATGGACAGAGACCATTTCTGATACACACACAAGAGACTGTTTTGGATTTTAAGCATTGCTTGAAAATAAAAATATGTTATTGAGGATGCAGCCTCAGGCACCAAGCTTTCATAGGAGCAGATGGTGCCCAGTCTGGTAATACAGGGGTCACAGCTTGAAAACTAAAAGACTGATCTTGAATAAACTACTTTAATACCATTGTATCATCCCACTTCCACCAGTGAAGAGTTTGATTAAAATTTCAAATCTAATTAAATGCTTCTCTACGACCATCTTCTGAACTACAATATTCAAACCTAGCTCGTAGAAATAAAAGCCCTCTTAGGCAAACTTGTGACATTAATCTAATGGTGGTAATTATCAAAACAACCAAAATAATAAAGCACAGAGTGAGATGAAGGGCAAAACAATTCAGTGAGAGCTGTTACAAGCACAAACAGCTGGGTCAAGGTGTCAAACACATTACTCCCCCGACACCAAACTGAAAGAAGGCAGACACTGAAACCAGAGACAATTGCCAGAGTTTGAAGTAGTTGTGTTTACCTCACAGAAAGAAGCTCTCGCATGTTGTCTCTCCTCATCTTCAAAAGAATTAACCCAACGTGATGCCATCATTCAACTTCACTTAAAATCCTGTTGTCCGTGAACGACCACATCGAAAAAAAAATGCAGCTCCAGCAGGATGCGAGAAAATGTATTAATGTTCCTCGACGTCCAATTTACATCTCCATTTCTGCTTGTCGTCTTACTCCATCTGTTCAAGAGAAGAGGGGGAGATGCAATTACAACATGTCACTATGCTTAATTAGTCACATTTGTGAATGAACAGCTCGGATCTGACGTCTCTCACTGTTCAGAGGTCAGCCAAAAAACATGACTCAATACTTCAGTTGTTGAGGGCTCATAATGGTGGACCATCCGTGTTTAATTTTGGACAGCATTATGCAACAAGTCTCAATCTAATGCTATTTTCTACCTGGTGTTGTTGTGCCTCGTCGTGGCAAAACTCAGATGCTGGAAAAACAAGCTGACTCTGAGCAATAGTACAAGTTAGTAAACAAAGTTTCTATATCATCATGGCCATTTCAGTATTACAATGCCCTACCTTGTGTCCTTCTGAAAAAACAGTGCTCTTCCAAATCTATTTAGATTCTCAATGAGAAATGTTTTGCATTTCACATGAGGGGGTGGTTTAAAAAAAAAAAAAAAAAAAAAGGGATCACAATCTTTACGTGTAATTCTTGTGCACCCTACTGTAGATAACTAATGTGTACACATGACCGAGTAGGTTTCGGGACACGTTGATGTGACACGCCGCATCAACACCGCATTATTCACGCAACAACAATTTGGGCTTGTTGTCATCGGCTCGGAGGACAACATCGTGGCGAGTCAACACACTGCATAATGAATGACCGGCAACAAGTGGACCACAGAGGGGAGGCAGGGCGACATAAATGCCCGTCACATTTGAAATTAAGCTGCAACGACCCCGCAGAACCTGTGTGAGCTCCACGGGATGTGTTTTACTCACAGCCCGCTGGTGGTGCGAGGAGGTCGGAGAGGGTGGAATTAAATGCCCCTTGTTTGAGATCGATGGTCAGCGGAGGCACGAACCGAGCGTGTCGAGCTGTTGTTCTCCAGCCGACCGAGAAAAGTGTCTTTCCCCGCAATTATTCTAAACGCAAAGGTGTCAAAATGGCGATGCGACGCGCTTCGGTCGTGTGTACTTCGCGCAAGCCGTGTGTGAAGCCAGCAAAGTGGGAAAAAGCCTGGGACCGAACTGCGGCAACAGGCTGCTAGCGCCGCGGTTAGCATCCATGCTAACGGAGTTGAAACAAAGTTACCTGTGTAGTTGAGGAGAGTCACTTCGGGCGAGCGGCGGCGGAGACGGTCGTCCATAAAAGTTAGAAGTGAAGACGTGAAGCGGGAGCGGCGATAAACCCGGGTGGAGACATGTTGGAGGAGCTCAGAGTAGTTCCCGGTGGTGGCTCCAGTCGCTCACGGTTGGCGCATGGTGCAGTTTGGTAGCTGGATTTTTTTTTTGCTTCCAGCGTCCCGACTGTCTCTGGGAGTCCACCTTCGGAAAACAGGGCCCCCGACAGCCAATCAGAAGCGGCGTTGTATTTGACTGGGCCAATCAGGTGCGGGTTTACAAAAAAAAACCCTCCTCCGCTCTGATAAAAGGTGGCGTTGTTTGAACCGTTCCAGCGGAGTTAAAAAAAAAAAAAAAGAGGAGTTTCTCCGGAGGTGAAAACACGCAGATGAACCAGGAGGAGGATTTGAAACTGTGCGCCTGCGCTGGTTTTACGCACTTGAGTTTTACGCACACACACAAAGCTGGAGCTGTGGGGGCGTCACATGTCCCTGGTTCAAATGGAGGTCGGGCAGAGCTGGCATGTGGATGGCAGCGGAGGAGGAATGTGAGTCCACACATTCCAGCCAGCATCTAATCTCTGCTCTCATCGGGCTGCCACCCTCAGAAGATCGTTCAAATGAAGACGCATTAAAGCAACTGAACATTGAAATTCATGTTCATATTCTCAGCCCCCCCTCGCCACCACATGTCCCCTTTATTCCTCCCCAACATAAAGGGACACCTGTTCTTGGGATCGGCAGCTTTTTGTTGCAGAGGTCAGTTCAGGGAGGAGACTTTCACAAAGCTTGGCCCCTCCAGCCACTTCTACTTCCAGTGACTCCACTATAGAGCTGGGGAAATAAACACAAGTACATTTAACCACTGTACTTATTATTTGTCTGTTTAAAGTTGTGCTACTTAACAGCTTTCCCTGGCTGGAAATAACACAAATGAAATAAAAACACACGATCAGCTCGTGAAATATGATGTAATGTTTAAAATCAAACTACCCAATATTGTTAAAAGTAACTAAAAAGAATCAAATTGAACCAGCTACTACAGTAAACAAGTACAGACAGTGTTAGTTCAGCTTGATAGATAGATAGTGTATATAGATACATAGATAGATATACTTTACTTATCCAAAACGGGGTAAATTCCTGTGTTACAG